ATTAATTTCTTTCTATTTTTTGGTAGAGACAGGGTCTCGCTCTTGCTCAGGCTGGTCTCGAACTCCTGAGCTCAAACAATCCGCCCGCCTCGGCCTCCCAGAGTGCTAGGATTACAGGCGTGAGCCACCGCTCCCGGCCCTGATATTTTTTTAGTCTTTTGTTCACATGTGTGGCATAAGATACTTTCATTCAGCATTGAGCTATGCAGCCCAGAAACCCAGATAAATGGCATCTGAGTTTCCTGTAAAATCCCAGAGCAAATGTTAGTACATACAAACCAACTGGCTATTCTGTCTAATGTCTGGGTCTTTCTAACTCCCACTTAGTCTTCCAGAAAAATGCGTCAGCCACCGCAACAACTTGCTAGAGGCCTGGATGTTAGGATAACAAGAGCGCTTAAACGTTAACAACAACTTTTATACATTTTAAAATAACAAAAAGAGAGGAATTGAAATGTTCCTAACACAAAGAAATGATTCACGCTTGAGGTGGCAGACACCCCAATTCCCCTGATTTGATTACACACTATATGTCTAGGTCAAAACACCACATGTGCCCCATAAATATGTACAACTATTATGTATCTATAATTAAAAATTTTAAAAAGGGTGATGTTTAAGAAGATTGGACTTTCGTTTAGAGATAAATATTGAAGTATTTACAAATGAAATGATATAATATGTACGGGATTTGCCTCAAAAAGACCCAGCAGGAGACAGGTGATTGAGGATAGAGAAGAAAAAGGAGATTGGCCAACGAGCTGGTAATTGTTGGACCAGGGTGATGGGCACATGTGGGTTGACTGTACCATTCTCTCTACTTTCATATGATTGAAAATGTTCTCAATGAGAAGTGAAAGATAAATAGATATTGGCCCCTGGAATCAGACTGCCTGTCAATCACCCCCTGGGCAACATTAGACAAGACCGTCTGTATCATTTATTCATCTCTCAAATGGGAATCATTATTACACAAAAACTACTGTTGCAGTTACTATGGCTGCATAACAGGTAACCCTAAAACGTGGTAGCTTAATACAATGACAACATTTGTCTTGCTCATAAATCTGCAACTTGGCCCAGATTGGGGACAGCTCACCTCAGCCCCACTCACCACCCCTCCCCAGGACACGCAAAGGCAGAGTCTGGAACCATCTCAGGGCTCACTCACGCCTGGCAGTTGAGGCTGGCTGTTGGCCGGGACCTCAGCGGGACCACCAGCCAGAATGCACACAGGCGGCCTCTCACGGTACCTGGTTCCTCACGAGCCTAGTTGTGAGGTAGCCTAGTTCCAGTAGGAACCTTTCCGGAGAGCTGAATCCTTCTTGTGATGCAGCCTTGGAAGTCACGTGACATCTCTTCTGCCACACTCTATTGGCCGGAGGAGTCACAAGCCCCAACAATGTTCAAACAGAAGCAGCACAGATGGGGAGAGTCTTGATGTGAATGGAAGGTTCTGGAAGACATGTGGGATCAGAAATACTGCTGTGGCCACTTTGAGAAAACACACAATGCCACCCCAGTGACTCTGAGTGGCCCCAGCCCACCCACAGTGGCCACGAGGTTGCTCACGTCCCACCGCCCACCCCGATTCATCCCTGAGAGGTAAAAACACCTCTTGGGGGTCAGGGAGGCCAGTGGCTCAGCTTGTCCTAGTGGGGCATGAAGTCATTCTAGAGGGCTTTAAATGGCAGTTTTTATTTTTGTTTGCTTTGTAAACTAAAGAAACGTGGGAACTGTTAGCCAGCCTCACTGACAAGACTTTCAGGCTCAAAGGCCCTGAAACTGGAGTTGGGGGGCAGCCAGGGCCTCAGTGGTGACTTTGATCGGCTGAAGCTACACGGACCCCACCTGCGAGCCGGAGCCTTTCCTGCCGTCTGGGCCTGTGGAAGTCCACCCATCAGTTCATGCCCTCTTGGCCCAGCCTCTTCCATTCCCGGCTTGTTTTGCTTTTGGAAAAGTGCATGAGCTGGGAGTTGGATCTTCTGACTTCCAGCCCCTGGATGGGCAACCTCGGGCAGGTGACCTACCGTAGCTCTGTGCTCGGCTTCTTCACCCGGAAAGTCAGGATACCGTCTTCGTAGGGGCACCGGGTCACTAGTCACATGGGTCACCGCCATGAGATACACGCTCTGTGCACAACGACCTGGAAGCAGAGCAGCCGCACCCCAGGGACTGCGAGCAGGCCTGGTGCCGCGGGCCACGTTTGGAGACGGAACTTCATTGCACGCCCGGCCCTGCCTTCCTTTCCCAGGGCGTCCTCCCTGCCGGCCCCGCGCCCCTGAACTCCCATCCCGCACCCTGCCCCCTCCAGCCTCCCAACTGCACTTCTCTCCCCACCGCCCTCAGTGTTAATTCGCAGCATTTACCGCGCTCTGCCACTCCACGCTGACCGCCCGAGGGCGTCGATGCTGCGCAGGCCCCTCCGTGTGCCCCACTCCCGCCCCTAAGAGGCACCTGCACGTAGCTGGCGCCCCCAAAATACCCGGAGGCGAGCGAATGGACGGAAGCCGGCGCTGCTGCTGAATGAGTGCGCCGGAGCCGCACACACCCGGCCGGGGCTGGGGTTCGCGGCCGGGCGAGGTCGGCGGCGGAGGGGGCTCCGCAGGGCCGGGGCCTGCAGGGGGCGCGCGCGGAGCGGGGCGGGGCCGCACCTGTCCTGCCGGCCGGGGACAGACGGGAGGGGGGCCGGGGCCCTGGAGCAGCTGCGCGCCCCGCCCCGCGGGCTCCTCCCCGCCGCCGCGGCCCCCAGGCTGCTGCCCCGATGCGCTGCGCCAGGAGCCCAGGCCGAGCCGCCGCCGCAGCTGTTGGGGCGCCCGGGCCGGGTGACGCTGCCGCTGCCCGTGCGCCTCTCAGACCCCGCCGGCCGCATGGAGCCCCCGGAGGGCGCTGGCCCGGGAGGTGAGTAGGGTCCCAGCCCCCGAGACCCCAAGCTGCGCCTCCCCGGCAGCGATCCGCAGCCCCTCCCCCCAGGCCCACCCATCGGCCGCGCCCGGGAGCTGCCGGCAGCTCCGAGAGCTGGGGGGCGGGGAGGGAGGCTGTCTGTGCGGCGGGGGACACCTCCCGGGAGCGGCCCCCGCGCGGGGCTGGGGGCGCACAGACCAGTCTCCGCCCCCTTGTTCTCTGCGCTCCTGGTCCAGCAAGCCGTGCCTGGCGCGCTCCTTGGTGGGCGGCCCAGAGTTCCGTCCTGAGCCCCCTCCCCGCCGAGCCAGCCGGGATCCGGGCAGCGGGTCGGAGGCGTGCCGGGGTGGGAGTTTGGGGTCCCAGTCGGGGTGCCGTGGAGGCGACGCTGCGCGCTTGCTCGTGTGGCCGCTTTGTTCGCCCCACCGGCGACTGGCGCGGGGAGAGGGTCGCGAGGCAGGCATCCTTCGAGCGGCTCGGGGCTGAGCTAGGTCCCGGTGGGGGCGTGGGGGAGGTGCCGGGGCGCGGCCTGCTGGGGGCTCCCGAGGCTGCAGTGGTGGCTGGCCTGGGCGAGGCCCAGGAGCGCACACACCTGGGAGGGGAGGAAGGTGTGCGTGGACTGGCCTCTCCTCGAAGCCCCTGTCGGGTGTTGGGGAGGCACCCTTGACGGCCGAGATCCTACTGCAGGTCTCCCCCCTTGGAGTCTGGCTCCAGGCTGGATGGTGGCTGGTAATGGGAGGAAAACTCTCAGAACCAGCCCCCTCCCTCTCAGAGCCCTTTCCAGAAGGGTTTTCTAGGTTCCCTGGGCCTAGGAACTTGGATGTAAATTGCAGACCCCTCCCCCTGCCTGGCCAGGCCCGCTACCTCCTGGGTTTCCTGGGGGGTCCCATCCCAGGGAGCCGGCAGGTGCCTGGGGGTATACAAGCCAGCCTGCTCCTCACTACACAGGGGCCGCCAGCCACACAGCGGCCTCCTCCAGAGCCCAAAGGGCTGTCCCCAGAGCTGTCTGTCTGGAAGCAGTCGGTCCACCTGCCCCTGTGTATCTGTAGTCCAAAGCGGGGGGTGATGTCCCGCGTGGGGGCCCTTGTCACATTGGCCTAAGCACCACCAGCGGCATCCAGGGACTAGTAGGTTTGGGTTTTTTCTTTTGTCATTTGCGGGAGGGAATCAGAGCTCTTTCTTGCGATTCACAGTCCCAGGACCCTGGGACTTCCCAGTGGACACAGGAAGTGGGACAGTTGGAGTACAAGGGCTTCAGGAGTTCAGCGCTGTTTCCAGGCTGTGACTTGTGAGCCTTTAGATGTTGGCAAAGCAACTGGGCCCCTCTGAGCCTCAGTTTCCACGTCTGTCAGTGGAGAGAGCCCCCTTGCCTTGCAGGGCTGTGGAAGCCCAGTGAGAAAACAGAGGTAAGGCATTTGGGAAGAGGAGGTTAACATCTTTCTTGTCTCTTTTCCTTCCGGGAAAGGAAGGGAGACTTCCCAGCAGCTTGAAAGGCACCAAGAGCAGGGTCAGTTTCTGAGTCCAGCACTCACTGGCTGGGGGCCTCAGATGGTGAACACATTCAGTGCACAGGTATTTTTTTTGCCTGCTTCCCACTCTGGCGGGCACCATGCCTGCAGTGGGGCACAGCGGGACAGGCAGAGCCTGTCCTCAGAGGCTCCCACTCCTCCCCACCCTTGGCCTGTCTCCTTGTCTGCACAGTGGCTGGTGATCTCTACTTGGTGGGACCTCATGAGGTCACGTGTTGTGGACTATGACTGTCATTGTCTTGAGTTCTCACGTACCTTTGAAAACAACAAAAGTCAAAAGAACATCATGATGAAGCCCCATGTACCACAACCCAGCCCCCAGACCCACAGCCTGCTCATCCAGACCATCACCAATGACCCTTCAGTAGTATTTTGAAGAAAATTTAGACATATTATTTCATCCATAAATATTTCAGAAATTATCTCTAAAAGATTTTAATAAGGCATCATTAAAATACTATTTTTGCCAGGTATGGTGGTACACACCTATAGTCCCAGCTACTTGGGAGGCTGAGGTGAGAGGATTGCTTGAGCACAGGAGTTCAAGGACAGCCTGGGCAGCATATTGAGACCCCATCTCTTAAAAAAAAAATTCTTTTTTTTTATTTTTTAGACATGGTCTTACTCTGTTGCCCATGCTAAAGTAGAGCAGTGCCATCATAGCTTACTGCAACCTCCAATTCCTGGACTCAAGTGATCCTCCTACCTCAGCCTCCCAAGTAGCTGGGACTATAGGCGTGATCACCACACCTGGCTCATTTTTTTTTTTGTAGAGACAGGGTTTCACTATTGCCCAGGCTGGTCTCAAACTCCTGGCCATAAGCGATCCTCCCGCCTCGACCTCCCAAAGTGCTGGGATTGCAGGTATTAGCCATCATGCCCGGCCACCAAAAAACTATTTTTGCACGTAAACAAATTAACAATAATTTCTTAATATCAAAGCATGCAGAACATGGAGGTGAGAAGTGTGTGCAGTGGGTGAAGAGAGCCCCACCTGGTGCTGCTGGGAGGCAGGGCTCTAGCCCACCTCAGTCTACTGAAGGGTCTGAATCCAGGGACAGAGGTCATGGGGAGACGGGGCGCAGGGGCCCCCTACCTCTGTGACCAGCTCTTCTTCCCTACAGCCCTTTTGGTTTTTATGATACTCATTCACTCACTTCATTAATTAATTAATTCATTCATTCATGCAGCAGTGTGTGCAGAGTGGCTCCTGGAGGCTCTGGGCAGGGCTCTGGGTGCACAGTAGGGGACATGAGATTTGGGCCAGGTTTTCGAATCACGAATGTGCTGGAAAATAGGTCAGCTGCAGAGCACAAGGTATCGGCAATCAGCCCTCAGGGAAGCCTGGGGGCAGGGCTGAGGCTGCTTCAGTGCCCACCCAGCAGTCAGAGCAGCGGCTCCTGCAGGAGGCTGGAGCCCTCCCCTGACAGGGGCTGTGCTGGATTGAGGACCAGGACATTGCTTGACCCCACACGAGGTCCTTCCTGGGGCATCAGAAACACCTGCTTACCTCTGCCTGCCCCGCTTACGGCTCAGCCAGGTGGCCAGCACCTGCCCCTGCGCCCGCCTGTGTCACTGCTGAGAAGAGCAGCAGCAGCCTCACACATGGGTGCTTGGTTCCTTCTTCCCACCAGGGCTTGTGGGGAGGTGTCAGACCAACTGTGTGGCTCCTGACATAGCTATGCACTAACTGGGGCTGTGGACTCATTTACTCACCAGTGTTTACTGTGCACCTACTGCGTGCCAGGGCCAAGCGTAGTCCTGGGAATGCAACAGTGACCTAGATGCAAGCTGCTTCTCGCACCCAGTCTCAGCCTGCTCTGGGGCTGGGCCCGGTGCCCGGTGCGTGGCAGGGGGTGCGTGCCCAGCACGTGTGTGTGTCTTTTCCCCTGGGCTTTGCCCATCAACTCCAGCCAAGGGTCAACCTTGTACCTTTGTTTCCATCGCGAATTGTTTTGTCGTTGTTGTTTTGAGATAGGGTCTCACTCTCTCACCCAGAGGGTTGTTTTTGAGATGTAATTCACATGTAAAGTTCACCTTTTTAAAGTACCCAATTCGGTATTTTAGTATAGTCAGAGTTTTGCGGTCTTCACCACTAATTTTAGAATATTTTCATCACCCCCAAGAAAAGCCTGTACCCATTCTCCACTCCACCCCAGCCACTGGCAACCACTAACCTGTCTGTGCATTTGCCTGTTCTGGACACTTCATATAATGGAGTCCTACAGTACGTGGCCTTTTGTATCCGGCTCTTGCACTCACCATGATGATTTCGAGGTTCATCCGTGTTGTAGCCTGAGTCAGCGCTGCGTTCATTTCCATGGTTGAGTAATATTCCATTGCATGGATAGACCACATTTTGTTTATCCACTGATCTGCTGATGGACGTTTGCATTGTTCTCACTTTTGACTATTGTGAGTCATGCTGCCATGGACATTCGTGTACAGTTGACCTTTGAACAATGCAGGGGTTAGGATCACCGACCCCGGCACAGCCACAAATCCAAGGGTAACTTATACTCTGCCAAAAATTAACTGCCACTGTTGACGTTAAGCCTTACTGGTAACGTAACAGTCAATTAACACGTATTTTATGTTATATATATGTATGTTATATACTATATTCTTACAATAAAGCTAGAAAAAAGAAAATATTAAGAAAATCATGAGGAAGGAAAAACGATTCATTAAGTGGAAGTGGATTATCCTAAGGTCTTGATCCTTGTCTTTATGTTGAGTAGTCAAAGGAGCAGAACGATGAGGGGTTGGTTTTGCTGGTTTCGCTGTCTCGGGCGTGGCAGGGTTGGGAGAATGCCCACGGGTAAGTGGCCTGGCACAGTTCAAACTTGTGTTGTTCAAGGGTCACTGCACAAGTCCCCGTGTGTGTGCATTTTCACTTCTCTTGGGAATACACCTAAGAAGAGAATTGCTGGGTCACGTGGAAACTCTAGATTTGATGGTTGGAGGGAACACCAGACTCTTCTTCACAGAGGCTGCACAACTGACATGCCGAGGATCAATCTTGCCCCTCCTGGGGGCTGGTGCCTCGTCTGTCCCTGGCATTTTGCCTCAGTGGCTTGTCTTCCGTCACATTCCTCTAGCCACACATTAGTGTTCTCGGTGGCAGAAGCTGCGTCTTCTGCGTTTCCCTTCCTCACAGCTTTAACACGGGCCAGGGCACGAGGGTTTTCAGGAGAAAGACCAGACCACTGCCAAAGGGAGATGGAAAAGAAACAAAACTCGATACCTGGTGACTTCAGAAGTTCACAGACCGAATTCCACCAAGTCTAAGACACCATCAGCTACAGATGCGTTGCTGTTTCAGGGATGTTAAAATACAGAAAGACGTGCTTCTTACAGCCCGTGTAAGAGGCTGCTGTGCCTGTGGGGCTGGACGTTTGTCCCGTGGGCTGTCTGTGGCGCCTGCGACCCCAGGACCTATGATGCGGACCGCTGGCATTGCCAGACCCTTCCCCAGCGCATACTCGCTATTCGGCTGAGGTCCTGTTTGGGGCCCGTCTCAGCACATGTGGCGGAAGGTGGGGCAGGGCCTACAGACCTCTCTTCCAGTGGACTGTGTCCTCACTGGCCTCACCGTAAAAACGCAGGTAGACGCTTCCTACTAGGTCGAAACCCTGTGGCAGCTTCTCCCACCTCACTCGGAGTAGAGCCAAAGTCCCGACAGCATCCGTGTGACCGCACACCCCAGCCACGTCGCCCAGCACTCGCCCGCCCTCACCCCGCTTGCAAGGCCCGCCTGGCGATCCTTGGCCGTCCCTCAGATTTGCAGTCTTGGGACCTTTGCGTGCTCCGTGCTGGTACCAGAGCCTCTCCCCAGGTATCACCCAGTTCCCCGCCTCAGACTCCTGCTCCGAATCTCAGCAGAGAGCCCCCCTAACGTGGGAGAACGGCCTCCCTGCTCCCTGGCACTGCCTGAGGGCAGGAACCATCTGTTTGGCTCATGCCATGTCCCCAGAGCAGAAGGGGTGTGTGGGAAGTCTTGGTTGGATGAATGTGTGAATGAATGAATGAATGAATGAGCACCCTCCTTCCTGTCCAGATGAGGAGCCTCGGCAAGTGGCTATGCACAGAGACCCCACCTCCATCCCACCTTCTTTCAGAAAGCCACTTCCCACCAGGTTGGGGCCCAGGGAACCGACGCCAGCAAGTTGGGGGCCGCTTCTCCCTCTGCCGGCCCCTGTACCGGGATGTCCTGCCCCCAGCCCCATGCCATGACGGGGAACAGGCTGGCAGGTGCAAGCTGAGCGCTCCCACTCTGGTCCTGGTCAGCCCCTGGGACAGGTGCTCACCCAGTCTGTGCCTCAGTTTCCTCATCTCTAAAGTACAAAACTCAGAGTCTTCCCCTTGTAGCTGGGAGTAAGGGTTAGGTGAAGATGAAGTCAGTTGACAAACATGGAATGCTGGAGCTGTGCCTGGCACAAAGTACCAGAAAAACACAAGCCGCTGTCGTGATTATTGACCCAGAGCCACTGCCCAGGTGGGGGCTCGGGTTTTCTGCACAGGTGCTCTCACCACCCCAGCTTTCCTTGATTTCAGGGGGCTGTCGGGGGGTGGGGGTGTCCCTCTGGCCTGAAGAGGGGACAGAGGTGGAGTTGAGGGGTGAGGGTACCCGTGCCGGGGCTGTAAGCCTTTTCTCAGCCGGGAATCCTTCAAGCTGAGCCTCCTGGCAAGTGACTTATGCCCTCTGTACCTCAGTTTCCCCAATCTCTCAGGGCCCTGCTCCAGCTATGCCTCGGGGGGCAGCACCTGTTCCATCCCAGACCCAGCAGGTCTGAGGCCCCTGCTCCACCCCACCCTAGCCAGACGCTGCGGACAGTTGGCGGCACCTTCCGGAGCCCCCAGCCGGGATGGGGCCACAGCGGCCACGGCTCCGCGCTGTGTGGGAGCGTTTTGGAATCGTGACCCTACACAGGCCATAGAACATGGCTCCATCCCTCCCTGCAGAAAGGCTCAAGGGCAAGGCTGGGTCTCCCTCAGCCCTTCAGCATCATCCCCCTGCTGGGACGAAGTGCGGTCCCCGCTCACCCAGTCAGACGGAGTCCAAATCACACCTCCCGTGCCCTCTGGGTGGCCAGGACACCGGGTGTAACTTGACCCTCCAAGTATTTTCCGAAACCACATTCCGAATGCCGGTGGAGAGGTGGAAATCGGATAACTGTGTCCCACCCAGCCTGGCCAGCCCCCAGGCCTGCAGTGGCCCATGCAATGACACTGCACTCAGCTGTCTCAGATAGAGGCAGGTTGTCCCCTGCATGGCACGAGCGCCGAAGAGGCTGCCAGGTCGCCTGCTCACAGCCACGCCGCCCGGCTCTCCTACCACTGGAGACGGGGCGCCAGGGAGGGTGGGGGCCGTCCAGGTCCGCGCAGGTGCCGTCATCCAGGCCAGGGCCGCAGGCACTGCAGCTCTGCGCCAACTTCCTGATCCTCTTCGGCTCGGCTGGGGAGAAGAGAAGGTGCCCAGGGACGCTGCAGGTTGTTACGAAAGGTATTAATTAGTTCACCATTTTTTTTAGGGCTGAGTAGTACTCCATGGTATACATAGACCACATTTTATTAATCCACTCATGGATCGATGGGCACTTGGGTTGTCTCCACTTCTTTTCGATCGTGAACTGTGCTGCTATAAACATTCAAGTGCAGATGTCTTTCTTATAAAGTGTCTTTTTTCCTTTGAGTAAATACCCAATGGTGGGATTGGATCAAATGGTAGTTCTACTTTCAGTTCTTTGAGGTATCTCCACACTACTTTCCATAGAGGCTGTGCTAGTTTGCAGTCCCACCAACAATGTGTAAGTGTTTCTTTCTTTCCGCATCCATGCCAGCATCTGTTGTTTTCGGACTTTTTGATAAAAGCCACAGACTGTATTATTTTTAATTCAGTACAGCGACATCGGTTTTTAAAAGGAAAAACTGGCTAGGCACAGTGGCTCACATCTGTAATCCCAGCACTTTGGGAGGCCGTGGCAGGAGGATCACTTGAGGCCAGGAATTCAAGACCAGCCTGGGCAACATAGTGAGACCCCATCTCTACAAAAAATTTAAAAACTACCCAGGCATGGTGGCACATGCCTGTAGTCACAGCTACTTGGGAGGCTGAGGTGGGAGGATCACTTGAGTCTAGGAGTTGGAGGCTGCAGTGAGCTGTGATTTCACCACTGCACTGCAGCCTGGGCAACACAGTGAGACCCTGACTCTTAAAAAAATAATCATAAGTAAATAAATAAAAACTCAGTCCACAGAAGAAAGACAGGAGAGAGGGACTGTTCTGGATTAAAGGGAAACAAAGACCTGGGCATGGAAATCCACAAGTGACCTTTCATGGGATGCTGGGCTGGGCCAAAGATTGGAGGCCAGCAACAGTTTGGGAACACAAGGGGCTCTGGGCTAACGGGACCATGTAGAACCCCCCACAGCAAGGTCTGCCTGGCACTGCATCTGTTGGTGCTCAAGTACCAAGAGTGACCTGGATGTCAGAGGGAGCTGGCCAGGGCCCAAGGGGGAGGGGCAGCCACCATGTGGCCACCCCTAGGCACTCCCTGGCCATTGCCCAGACTCAAAGGAGGACTTGATGTACCCAGTCCTCAGGTCCTCCCTGGACCCTGCGTCCTGGTGGTGATGTGGGTGCCCCTGTGGGTCTCAAGGTAACACCCTGTGTTTTGGTCGCAGAGATCGTTAAGGAGGTTGAGGTCCTGCAGGCTGCCCTGGGTGTCCCAGCCCATGGGACGGGGGACAGCTGCCACTCGCCCGTGGTGGAGGAAGAGGTGGGCATCCCTATACCAGCACCGGGGCTCCTGCAGGTCACAGAGAGGAGGCGTAAGTATCACTGACCAGCCCAGCACACTCTTTGGGGACCCTGGAAGCCCCCAGGGAATGGGGCAGCAGGTGCACATCCTGTCCAAACACTCCCTAGGGTGTGGAGGCTCAGAGACAGCCTGAGAAACCAGGTCTGAGTCTAGTGCTGACCGCTTCGCTCGTAGAGCTTTGGATGTCTGCAAAACGGAGGACGTTCAGAAAGCTTTCCGTCCTTGGGTGTGCGCAACAAACGCCCTGGTCCAGGTCGCCTTTACAGAAAGCTGGGGTTCATCTGTGAGCCTCGCGGGAGGACACAGCACAGACTGAGGAGTGACTGTCCCCTCTCCGTCCCCAGAGCCCCTGAGCAGTGTCTCCTCTCTGGAGGTCCACTTTGACCTCCTGGACCTCACCGAGTTGACCGACATGTCCGACCAGGAGCTGGCCGAGGTCTTTGCCGACTCGGATGACGAGAACCTCACCAGTGAGTCCCCAGCAGGTGAGGCTGGCATCGGGGCCTGTGGGGAGGTGTGTGGGTGGTGGGCTGAGACCCTGCGGGAAGTCCTGGGGTCTCGGGTGAGTCTCAGGGGGTGTCTGGCACCCACGACTTCGTTCCCTGCATCTCATGAGTCCCCCCACTACAGCTGCTGCTCCTAAACTTTGCCTTCCCAGTGAGCAAGTAAAGCCCAAAGCCACTGTCCACCCAAAGTACGATCTGCTAAACGTGAATTTTAACCTAAGTTAGACCAAGCACAAGGTAGGGGTGGGCGTTTTCACCAGCCCGGTTTTCACCTCCCCAGCTGACTCAGTTTCCCCTCTGACCCCACCACCCTTCCTTCCCTCTCTGCTCACAGCCCACCCAAGTAGGGCCCCACAGCGTGGCCACTTCCGCGTCCCCCTCCCAAGCCCTGTGATCAGAGTACAGGATTCGCCTCTAATGGGGACTCAAGTGTGTCTTTTAGTCTCTTCTGACACTGAGCAGTCAAGGGCGTCGGTGTGACCTGTGTGACCTTCCGCCTTGGGAGGAGAGCACAGGAGCCCCGGCCTCCCCGGCTGGGCCTGGCCTCTGCTTCCCCATCCCTGGCCACCCAGGACCTCACTAAAGGAACCAGCCCCAGCACGGATCCTGCCAGCTGCCCCCGTGGTCCTGGGGTGGGGCAGTGGAATGGGGCCTGGCCCCACCTCAAGGGCAGTCTGCCCCCAGCTCACCTCCAGGACAAGCCCCCCAGCTCCTCGGCTTCCCCACACCTTCCCATGGGCCCGCTGATGTGAGCTAGGCCAGGCCGGCCTGGGCTGCTGCGGCTGGGGAGGTGGGGGCTCAGGCCCCAACACACCTGAACCCCCAGCCCACGGGGCTGCAAGCTGGAGCAAGACAAGACCCATGACAGGCAGAGGCTCAGGAAGGGGGCCAAGCACCTGGGGGGCCCTCAGGTGTGCTCAGCTGCTCCAAGCCGTGGAGGCTTTGGGGAGGCCCCAGCACATCACAGTGACCGAGCGGCAGCAGCCAGAGCCAGATTTTCACAGGGAGGGGGAGGCCCTGCCCAGGCCGCACAGACCACAATGTCCATGTCTCTGGTGGGGCCAGGGAACCCCAATGTGCAGGGGGGACCTGCTGTGAGAGCATCAAAGACACCTGCGCGCACGTCCAGGAACGCGGGGCCCAGGGCAGCGCATCAGCAGGCGTGACCCAGGAGGCTGGTGGACACACACTCCGGGCTGCCACACACCCACCCCGGGCCTCTTGGCCGTGCTGAATTTCACTTCCCGTGTTCCTGCCAGGTCTGCACCCGCTACCAAGGGCCGGCTGCCTTCGCTCCCCCTCCTGGACGAGGACAAGAGCTGAGCAGAACCGCGAGAAGCAGCCCCTTGGCGACCCTGAGCGGCAGGCCGCAATCCTAGACACATTTCTCACGGTGGAGAGGCCCCAGGAGGACTAGGCCATCTCCATCCAGCTGGGGACGCTTCAGCCCCCATCACGATGACAAATCGGGGTGGTCCTGGCCCTGCAGACAGACGTTGCTCTCTCCACGAGGCTCCAGCCATCACCTCCTGACACAGCAAGCCAGGGCCAGGGGCACTGCTGGAAGAGGTTCCCCATCAGCCCCTGGGCCACGGTGTCTGCTGGGCACAGGCCTCAGCCCCACTCAGAGACCAGCTGGCTTTCCTGGGGGACACGCTGGGCCCCTGGGTGCCTCTGGGAGCCCCAGCACAAGCACAGCCCAGTGGCCTTACGTCCAGCTCGTTCCTGGACCCTGGATGAGGAAGACACCACCGTCAAGTCACTGCCTGGTGATGAGACAATCGGCAGAGTGCGCAATGGTAGCCTCAGGGTGGGGGGGCCTGAGCCTGTGGGAACCACGCCAAGAACCCCCTGGGGGTCCCCAAGCTCAGCACGAGACGCAGGTTTGGTAGTAACTAATGGGACACAATGCTGTCCAGCCAAGCATGTGGGCTGGGGTCAGCCCCAGAAGTTTCCACCTTGATTTCACTCCTGCTCCCTTCCTCTGCCCCGTGGAGGCACCACCAGCCCCAGGGCCCCTCCCCAGGCTCACCTCTAAGACCGGCACCTGCTTCTCTTAGTCTCCGCATCCATCTCCTTAGCTCAAAACACCAAATATCGCCAGACTGCCTCGCAACCCCGCGACACCTCCCAGACTGCCTGGGGGGCGGGGTGCACCCTCTTCCCCACCCTGCACCCTTTGCAAGAGCACATCCTCCTGTCCCTTCTCCACACCCCACAGACCAGCTGCCCGGCCCACCCATGGCTCTGGGCCCACGTGACTCTCTGGGTCTCTGTCCCAGGCACTGACAGGCCCACCCACTCTGCAGTGGGGGTGTCAAGAGCACCCGACGAGCCCCTCCCAACACTGCTTTTCATGAGCTGAAGATCACAGAATAAGCTTGTTTGACAGCAAAGAACTGTCAAAGAACAGTTTTAATATGAAAGTTTAAGCTTGATTTTTGTCCCCAAGCCAAGCTGCCATGCCCCATTCCCCACGATAACATTTCCAGGGAAGGAAAACAGGCTCTGATCTTCATGGGACTCTTCTGGGGAGACGCCCTGGGCATGCACTGCACTCCTGCTGTGTGCAGGCAGTCCAGGAGGCTCCCACTTCTGAACTGCACCCTCCCCCTGGCCTGTCTGCACTGTTGGCAAGTCCAGGTCCTACCCCAACCAGGTCTCCTAAATGAAAACCGTCCCTGCTTTCCAATCTCACAGAACCAAGCAGCTTTCTCTTTCGACCCCATAAAGGCGGCCGTGCCCCTGGCCACACCTCCACCCCCAGGGTCTTATTCCCCATTTTCCATCCTTCCTGCTGCAACTTACATAGATCTCATCTACGAACAGTGGGATTAAACCATCACCCCGCATCTTAAGGCCTGGCCACAGTCTCTTCCTTTGTAGCTGATACCAGGGGGGGTGGGAGGGGCTGCCCTGGAGCAAGGCTCCGGCCCTTGGGTCATTCTCCAGCTGTGCTGCACTCCAGGCTGTGCGTATGTGGGTCACATCTCAGGGACAAGTGCCCTGGATCCCCGTCCAAAAAGGAGTCACTAAGGAAGTAAAAATCCTGCCCACAGGAGGCCACAAAGGTGGCCCAGGACTAGGCAGCAGTTAGTCCCTAGCGACGGCTCTTCCCAACAGCCGTGTCCCAGAAGGCCGAGATGAGGGCAAACACCCACCCACACAAATCCTCCTGAAACGAGGTGAGCGCGGAGCCAGCCAGGTCTGACCTGCTTTCTGCCTGGCCCAGGGAACAGGCCCACCGAGCTCCGCGCCCTTCTCTGGCAGAGGCAGGCAGGCAGGCTGAGAAAGACCCACACGTGTCACGGCGCCCGGCCAACACTTCTCGGGCTGGGCCTTCACCTGTCGTGGTGATGACAGGCAAACCCCAAGTCACACTTAAGATGGACAGGAAAAGAGAATGGGACACAGTGTGTCCGATTCAGGGTGAGGAGCCACAATACGAGACTGTTCCAGGGTCATATAAAGAGCCACCTGCGGAGGACACAGGCAGGGAAGCTGGTGGGGGAAGGTGGCACGACCACACCAAACAAGGTGCGGTGGACGCAGCTGCAGAAGACAGGTCTGTGGAGGGAACAGCCAGGTGTGGGAGCTCAAGGACCTCACTCCTGACCATCCCAGGGCCCAGGCAAGAGACGGATCCCCAGGCTCTGCCCATCAAGTCCCCACCAGGGTGAGCCCCATCCAGAGCTATGACCTCCCTTGACCCTGTGAGACAACACACACCGAGGAGGACCTGCTACAGACGATACAGTGTCACAGAAGCCATCTGGGGTCAAGGGAACATCCCCACCTCCATTTGAGGGGACCCCCACACCAGGCCCAAACAGGACCCCAAGTGGCTCAGCTAATCTGGGTTTGGTGGAAGCCACAATACAGGTCGAGCCCTAAAGACTAAAAATTCAATGATATATGTTTTACAAAGAGCAGTGAACATGCTTGTCCCCAGGTGGAAATTCTATTTTTGAAGCTCCGAGGCAAACATAACCAACACTCTGGAAGACAACCACAAACCCCCGTGTCCGGGCTGGGCTGGGCCAAGAGAGAAGCTGCGGGCAACTGGGGACAGTGAGTGGGGCCACCCAGACACCCATCCTCCCACCCCAAGACGGAGGCTGACGCAGCAGCCGCTCACAGGCCAGGCCAGGAGGCAGGCTCCTGGGCTAGAGGAAGGGGGACATTTTCACAGCCCCACAACACTCCATCCTGAATCCAGCTCCACGGCACTGGGCCCTCGTCACACTCTGACCAACAAGAGCAAAGGCTCTTTCAGCTGAAGGCCTCAAAAGGGCCTGGAGCCCACCACCCAGACCGTGGCCTGCCCTGCAGGCTTCCTGGAGCCCGGCAGCTCCACCACGTCCTCCAGCACTTCCTTCTCCGGCCTGAAGGCGACGCCCACCTGTCAGACTGCTCCTGCCACTCCCAAAACAGGGCCACCTTCCTGTTATTTAGCTGCCAGCCCCAGGAAGAGAGTTCACAAACAGGCACCAGGACCACTGCTCTCCACAAACACTCCAGCACCAGCCAGGGCCCGGCACACCCTCCCTCGGGGCGGGGCAGGGGCCATGGGGGACTCTGTGATTCCAAAAGTTTGCTGCAGGGAACAGCAGCTTAGTGATGATGAAGGGACTTAAATTCAGACACACCCTGATCAGTCAGGCACCTCCCCAAGGGCAGGCGCCAGGTTCTACTGGGGAAACTGAGTCTCCCTATGCTCAGAGCAACACTGCCAAGGGGGACCCCCAAGTGTGTGGCACCCCCATGTCTCCACCATCCTCCCCAGAGTCACCCACAGGCACGTGGTCTTAGCTGTCCATAAGGACAGATTGGCACCCCACCAGCCAAATGGCTCCTTTAAAAGCCTGCTTTTCCTTGACGATTGGCTTACACTTTCCTTTTCTCAATTCTACCTCACCAGACCTTGAGGGCTCTTGGGCTGGGCCCAGACTCCTCCTCTGAGCGATTTCTGGCAGCCCACACTGGCACTTCTCCGCGGGGCTCCCTAGGAAAGCCGAGTGTCCTGTCTCCGCCGAGAGCACCAACTTGCGCCTCTGTTGGCTCCCACACTTCGGGCTCCCAGGAAGACACCGACCCTCCCTAGCACCAGTGGGCTGGCGCCCTGCTGCCTCACCCCTCTTCTCTGACCCAGGATCCGGCCGTCCTCTAGAAACAGGGTCCACGGACTCGCAGTAGTCCCTTAGTCACCTCTCAGGCTGGCTGCTGCCAACTCCCAGCTCCCTCCTCCGTGGCTTCAAAGCGCCCTTATCTAAAACACCCATTTGCAGTTATCAAGTGTTTTAATTTGTTTTCCGGTGATGCTGGCAGCCGCTTTGCAAAGGCTCTGGGTACGCGGTGGTCACCCCAAGTCCCGTCCAGTGGCAGGTGCAGGCAGTGGCCACAGCAGCTACGTGCAGCCCTCCTGCACACACTGCTCCGTGTCCCCCTCCTGTGCCCGGTTCCAGCCCTTCAGCCCCTCAGGAAGGGACGTGTCTTCCCCCAGGCTGCCGGTACCTTCCACGAACTCCTCGTAGGTGGACCTCTCTGCAAAGGGCCGGGGGCCTAGCAGCTCCACCATGTCGGCCTTCTCCAGCACTTCCTTCTCCAGCAGCCGCCGGCCCACCTGGAAAGGATGCCCACCCGTCAGACTGCTCCAGGCGTCTGCTCCCTCCAGCCCCAAACCTAAGCAGGCCCCTGAGGACAGGTGCAGTCTGATTGTGACCCAACCTGTGATCCGTGACCCGGCTACCAGGCAGAGGCCCCACCCACCTTCTCCACTTGCTCCCGGCACCGAGTCAACAGGTCCAGGGTGCGCTCGTAGGCGGTGCTGATGAGGTGGCGAACCTCCTCGTCAATGAGCTGGGCGGTAGCCTCGCTGTATGGCTTCTCCACCAGGGTCTCACCTTGCCGAGGAAAGTCGAAAGACACCTGGCCCAGCTTCTCGCTCATCCCAAACTGCACGATCTGGAGTGTGCAGAGCCCAGGGTGAGCCTGCACTCAACACAGCCGCCGGCAGCCACGTGCCAGGGAGGCCCACCCCTCACCTGGGCATAGGCGCTCTGGGTGACCCTCCTGAGGTCGTCCTGAGCCCCCGTGGTGATCCGCCCAAAGAACAGCTGCTCGGCCACCCTGCCCCCCAGCATCATGCACATGCGGTCGAAGAGCTGCTCCCGCGTGTAGAGGTACTGCTCCCGGGGCAGGTACTGTGCGTAGCCGAGTCCCTTGCCCCGGGGGATGATGGACACCTGCGGGGCAGGAAGGGACCAAGTCACCTCCTAAACACCATCCCCACCTCCTCTGGGAGCTTCCCCTGAAGCACCCAGACCCACCTCACCCTGCTCTCGCCACAGGTCCCTTGACAGGAGTGTGGTCCCACTGACCGAGGGGCCGCCTGAGATGCGCTCTGCCTCTGGGAGCTTCAGCTGGTGAGGTTTCCGTGGGAGCCACCTCTGTCCTGCCCGCCCCGCAGGAGCTCTGGAGAAGCCCGACAGTCAGCTTCAGAGTAATTTAACATCAAAGCTTCTCTGTGGAGTCAGGTGGCCGAGGCCCTGCCGGGAATCAACACCCACTGCTCTGCCGTCCCATCCTCTAAGGCAGGGGTCCCCATCCTACGAGTCGTGTAATTATTTCATTGTATGTTACAGTGTAATAATCACAGAAATAAAGTGCACAGTAAATGTAATGCGCTTGAATCATCCTGAAACCATCCCCCTCTGCCGGTCTGTGGAAAATTTTCTTCCAGGAAAACAGTCCCCGGTGCCAAAAAGGTTGGGGACCGCTGCTCTAAGCAATCTTTTGACAAATTCTAGACCAATATATTCCTTAAAAACTCAAAGGGCCGCCCCCTTGAATGTGCTGTGCCTACGTGGCCACGAGATGGCGCTCAGACAGCCAGTCAGGCGGGGGCCAGCCCGCGGGCAGGGGAGGGAGACCGACCTTCAGCAGGGGGTCCACGTGCTCCAGGAACCAGCCCGCCACTGCGTGTCCAGCCTCATGGTAGGCCACAGTCGCCTTCTCGCTGGGCTGCAGGACCTGGGTCTTCTTCTCAAGGCCTAAGATCAGCCCAGGCGAGGAAGAGGAGGGGAGGAACGGCAGCTGGAAGTGGGCGCCGAGTCTCCACGCCCCCCATGGCTAGCACAGGTCTGCTGCCACACCTGACCCCACGGCCCTCCCAGCGCCGGCCCTCCCTGTGTACAGACAGCAGAGAGGCCGGAGCCTGGCTCCACACTGCTCCTTGCCCTGCAGGACAACGCCACCTCCCGGCCCCGCAGCAGGTGCCACCACGCACCTCACACTCAGGGGCCCACTTTCCAAGGCCTGCTTTGAGCCAGTGGGAACAGCTGCGTGTGAGCTGCAGAGGCAGCTGTGTCACTTCCCACTTGACTAGCAGTGACCGCACTCCACCGCACGTGGGACAAAAAGGGACGACTCCTGCCAGGGTCTGAGGCCCAGCTTCTGGGCAGGTAACAGGGTAAAGACAAGGCACAGACACGTGACCGCCTCTGCTCAGCCCAGCCACTCTGGATAACCAGTGGACCAGAGCCCCAGGGACGGCCCTCGAGAAGCTCTGGTGAGGGTCTGCTTTTGTCTACTTGACGCGGTCTGTAGTTTCCGTACGTGTTATACCTCAACAAAGAGCTAAACGGAGAGGAAGCAGCGAGGATGACCTGCGCCTGGCTGACGTCCGTCTCACAGCTCAGGGCTGGGCCATGAAGGACGGCGTCGGCACCTCCCTGATCTCCATCCCCAGGACAGCCGGACCAACCCACGCAGCACTAGGAGGCCCTTCTCCACCGCTGACTCCAGGCCCCCAGGCTGACCGGGCTGAGCGTCCCAAGTTGCAGGAGGCTGTGTGACTCATCCCACTGCTCGGTCCACTGAGCCGAATGCAGCAGACTGGCACGACTATCCCCCGAGCTGAAGAAAACACACTAACATTCACTCCTTTAGCAACAGTGCTGTCCCAGGAAAGCCCGGCAACCACCATGGGACGGTCCCTGCAGCTTCCACAAGGCCTTTCCCTGGAAACCCCATGCATTCCGCTCCCTGCTCTGCCATCCACAGCCAGCATCCAAACCTGGTTCTAGCTGTCTCCTCAGGCCATCTGATGGCCTGAAGTCCTGCCTCGTTGAAGTCCTAAATGTTGCTCCCAGAAGGGGCATGAAAGCTGTTGGAAGATCCCAAGTCCCAAATTTTGGTTTAGAAAACTGGTCCCAGTTCCTGCATACAGAAATGAGGCTGCAGCCGACGGTGAGCCTGCCAGGACCAAGTCGGAAACGCACCTCCCTCCCCGGGGGGCTGCGGGCTCACCTCCAACAACTCTCTCGATGGCCTGCTCAAAGTGCTGCTCCTGGACAAAGGGACTCAGGTGGCGGGCGGCGATCAGGGCTGCTTCGTTGCAAACGTTAGAAATATCGGCACCTGACCCAAGAAAAGAGAAACAGTCAACAGTCAGTGCTGTCCTGGCCACTGGAGCTTGACCTAGATCCGTTTTGTCAAAGGAACGTCTCCAGCAGAGAGGCCAGGGCTGAACTTCAGCAGAGAACTTAAGGGTAATGGGAGCTGCTTCATCAGTCACCACTAGTTTTAGCCAAGCTTTTTGGTTTAACTTTATTGAGGGTATAATTTATGTGCCAGGAAATCCACCCATCTTTAGTGTACATGTCAACGATTTTCAGTAAACTTACCAAGCTGTGCAACTGTTGCCATAACCGAGTATTAGGAGATTTTCCATCGCTGCTATGATGGAGGTGTCTGTGCCCATGCACAGTTGATTCCCACCCCTGGCAAAACTCGTCTAAGCTGTCTTTGCCTATTCTGCACATTTCACATAAGTGGGATCACACAACACTGGCCTTCAGTGTCTCCCTTCTTGCACTTAAAACATTGTCTAGGTTCACTGCCCACTTCATAGCATGTGTCAACTCCTCACTCCTTTTTACAGCTCAGTTCTTTTTTAGCATTTGCCAGTTTATTTATCTATTCATCTGTGGGTGGACACTGGGTGTGTTTCTACTTGGGGCAGTGCAACGATTCCTGCTGAGTGCTCCCTGCTGAGGGGCAGTGCTGAGTCATCCCCACTGAGGAGCACAGAAAACCAAAGTCTAGGTAATTTATTCCAGTTTCCTAACTTTGGTATATAAATGGACATCTGAAGTCCGCAGGGTCTCCAGGAAGCACGTTCTAGGCATGAGACAGATGACATCCTTCACGCACCAGCCTGGCAAGAACTGTTCACCCATCACCCTGCAGCAGACAAGTGTACGCTCCTGTGTGTGAACGTACCTCACTCAACACTGGGCAGGACACCGTGGCCTGAGGTGGCGAGAGGGGATGAGACTCTAGGGCAGAATGCTCCAGACGTGGAGATGCAGGTGGGTGTGGGTCAGAGGCCACGGCCAATGACTGCCACTCAGCCATGATGTACTGGGGCCACCAAGGGCTGCTGGGTAGGGGTACCTTGGGCAGGGACCCCCCTCACTCCTGGAGTTAGACTATCCAGGTAAGGACGCACGTTTCTCAGTATAGGAGACTGAGTTTTCATTAGAAAGAAAAAAGCAAAGCAAAAGAACCTCTCCAGCTGAGCGCTCAAGCCCAAGACTAAAATGTAACATGACTCATCGCTCCAGCAGATCCTTCCTCAGAGGGCATTCTGGTCTCTGCTGTAAAGGCTTATTAAGTTTGAACAAAATTAAAACAGACATTCAGGCCAGGCACGGTGGCTCACACCTGTAATCCTAGCACTCTGGGAGGCTGAGGCGGGAGGATCGTTGAGCTGAGAAGTTTGAGACCAGCCTGAGCAAGAGGGAGACCCTGTCTCTACTATAAATAGAAAGAAATCAGCTGGACAACTAAAAACATTCAGAAAAAATTAGCCGGGCATGGTGGTGCACGCCTGTAGTCCCAGCTACTTGGGAGGCTGAGGCAGGAGGATCGCTTGAGCCTGGGAGTGTGAGGTTGCTGTGAGCTAGGCTGATGATACTGCACTCTAGCCCTGGCAACAGAGCAAGACTCTGTATCACAAAAAAAAAAAAAAACCAGAAATTCAAACGGGTAGAAATTAGCTTTGGGGCTAAGAAAAACGATGTCTGAGGCCTCTGAGCTGCCTCAACAGGTCCAAGTTCTGCAGACACAGGTGAGCACCTGCAGCACCGAATGTGTGGGACCAGGAACCACCCAGTGACAAAGAGCTGAACACACGGTTCCTGCCGCGGCAATCGCAACACTCACCAGTAAAGCCCGGGGTGAGCGCCGCCAGCTTCCTTGCCAGGGCGTCCTTCCTGAGGCTCTCGTCCAGCTTCAGCGGGCGCAGGTGGACCTTGAAGATGGAGGACCTGCCTTTGATGTCAGGGGGCCCTAACACAAAAGAGAGAGACGCAGGCTCTGATGCTCACCGTGCCTCCGGCACTAGGCCCCCACCAAAGTGCAAGGACAGCGTGGGGCTGCGGCAGAGGTCCCTGCGCGGTCAGCCCGCCCGAGCCGGGGAGCAATGGCAGACACCGAGGTGCACAGTGTTGGACTCCGCAGCACGTTCAAACACCTTCCCGGCTGCGCTGGCTCCCAGGCCACGTAATCTGCCAGCGAGCAAGACGAAGGCTGCCCTGGGCAGCAGGGGACACCCACACAGGACTGATGTTTCCTGACAGACGGCAAAGGACAGGGAGAAGACGCAGATGGCTGTCAGGGTGAAGAGTGAAGGAGAATTCTTGTCTTCTGAACTGTCCAGTTTTTACAACACTGTGCCAAACGATAGAAGCTGGAGAAGAGGCACCTGTCACACCACTCCCACTGTGTGCACGCACTGCGGGAAATTCCCGTGGGCCCAACCACACCTGTCCCCCCCAAAAGGTGGACAGCCAGAGGCAGGACCCAGGGGCAACCTGGGCACTCAGGTGTCTCCACATTCTCAAAATGTTGCATTAACTCCCTCAGGATCACTATCAGAACCTCTTCCAAATACACAGCAAATGACCGAACCGATCCTTCAGGCCAAGGGGATGAAGGCCCGAACCTGAGTTCAGTGCACTCACCAAGGTAAATCTGGCGGTCGAACCGGCCGGGCCGCATCAGGGCCGGGTCAAGGATGTCAGGGCGGTTAGTGCCGGCGAGCACCACGACGTTAGTGGTGGAGTTGAACCCTGAACACAGGAGGAGCAGGTGAGCTAGCAGGGAAAAACCCAGTGTGCGCGACCCCACAGAGGCCTGTCCACGGCGTCTTCCCTGCTCCTGAGAGGACATCCTGCTGCCCCTACTGTACCTGTCCCTGTCTCCAGAGCCGCTGCCCACCCTGGGTCAGCCCCGCACCAGCTCTGCTTTTCCTTCCGCTTGTTCCACGCCCCACTGCAGGGCCCACAGAACAGGCAGGAGGCCCCTGCTCAGCTGCCCACACCCAGCGCCGGCTCTGAGGACCACGAAGGAACCTCTCAGAGGCTCCACATTTGGCTCTGTTTGTACAGTCCCCTCACTGCTCCGGCTGAGATGGGTCTCCACCAGCAGGTAACGAGACCTTCTTTGGCTAACTGGGAACCCCACAGCCTGACTCCAGGTGGTACAGACAAGTCCCAGGGTGTGACCCGCCTTATCCTGATTCATTACTGGTTCCTGCCAGCCTCTGACTCCACACGATGCCCACTCAACGGTGGCAGTGTGAGGTCTCCATCCACCCAGGTTCTCGTGGGCTCACAGGGCCCAGGGAGCTGGCATGGAGGACGGCAGGTTAGGGCTGCACAGAGGACACGGACATCAGCGGAGGGGAGGGTGCAGAGGAAGGCTGGGCACCCTACCTCCTCCTCCTCTCCTGTGAGTCCCCTCCAGATATCAAAGCAGTGGCAATCTAATGAGAATTACTGTTGGACAGTAAAGACAGTAAGAGATTGTGGAAATGTTTTTGGCCTGTGCAGGAAAGCATTAACACAGCAAGCCGGGGCCGGGCGCGGTGGCTCACGCCTGTAATCCTAGCACTCTGGGAGGCTGAGGCAGGTGGATCGCTCAAGGTCAGGAGTTCGAGACCAGCCTGAGCAAGAGCGAGACCCCCGTCTCTACTAAAAATAGAAAGAAATTATTTGGACA